AAATATTTTATATATATATATATATATATATATATATATATATATATATATAATTTTTTTTATTTATTTACACAGTCATTCAAAAGTTTGGTATTGGTATGATATTTTTACAGAAGTCTCTTCTGCTCAAGGCTGCATTTATTTGATCAAAAATGCAGATAAAAATACAGTAATATTTTTACAACAAAATACTGGTTTTCTATTTTGATACACTTTAAAATGTAATTTATTTCTGTGATCAAAGCTGTATTTTCAGCATCATTACTCCAGTCTTCAGTGTTACATGAGCGAGTGTGAGAGAGAGTGTGAGAGAGAGTGTGAGAGTGAGTGTGAGTGAGTGAGTGTGTGAGTGAGAGTGAGTGTGTGAGTGTGTGAGAGAGGGTGTGTGTGAGAGGCTGAGTGTGTGAGAGGCTGAGTGTGTGTGTGAGAGGCTGAGTGTGTGTGTGAGAGGGTGAGTGTGTGTGAGAGAGAGGGTGAGTGTGTGAGAGAGAGAGAGTGAGTGTGTGAGAGAGAGAGAGTGAGTGTGTGAGAGAGAGAGAGTGAGTGTGTGAGAGAGAGAGAGTGAGTGTGTGAGAGAGAGAGAGTGAGTGTGTGAGAGAGAGAGAGTGTGTGTGTGTGTGTGTGAGAGGGTGGGTGTGTGTGTGAGAGGGTGAGTGTGTGTGTGAGAGGCTGTGTGTGTGTGAGAGGGTGAGTGTGTGTGTGAGAGGGTGAGTGTGTGTGAGAGAGAGGGTGAGTGTGTGAGAGAGAGGGTGAGGGTGAGAGTGTGTGTGTGAGAGAATATATAAAACTATATATACTATAGTTTTATAGTGTGTGTATGTAAATATAGAACTATATATATACACGCACACAATAATATAATGATTAATTTTATGAAATTGAATGAGAGGTACTTTCAGAGTCAAGAGGCCTTCAAAGTGTGTTGTGCTCTATAAAATACAGCATTTATTAAAACTAAGCTGAAGTTATTTTCCATAGGAATCCTTGAGGAGTGACGTGCGGTAGTTCTGTGTGCGTGGCTATGTTGAGATGCTGGTGTGTGTGGGTGAGCAGATGATCCGGATGTGTGAGAGAGAGGGTGAGGGTGAGAGTGTGAGGGTGAGAGAGAGGGTGAGTGTGTGTGTGAGAGAATATATAAAACTATATATACTATAGTTTTATAGTGTGTGTATGTAAATATAGAACTATATATATACACGCACACAATAATATAATGATTAATTTTATGAAATTGAATGAGAGGTACTTTCAGAGTCAAGAGGCCTTCAAAGTGTGTTGTGCTCTATAAAATACAGCATTTATTAAAACTAAGCTGAAGTTATTTTCCATAGGAATCCTTGAGGAGTGACGTGCGGTAGTTCTGTGTGCGTGGCTATGTTGAGATGCTGGTGTGTGTGGGTGAGCAGATGATCCGGAGCGCTCGGCTCTTCTCGCTGTGTGTCTGGAGCGCGTCTGTGTGCTCAGAGAAGCAGTAGACGCAGGTTTCTGTGGCCCTCGGCCGCTCCGGAGACTCTTCATCCGCCCGAGCCATCAGAGAATCTGCAGCAAAACAAACACATTCAGTCGAGCGAGAGCGCAGAACTACATCAGGAACATCCCATCTGAGCCATACTGTAAAAATAACATGGTTAATATAATGTTCATTTAAATGTCAGTTGTTAATTTAATAAAGTTGAAGTAGGCTACTGTCCATAAACATTTTTATTATGCAAATAAAAAATAATAATTATACATACACAAAAAAATGTGACACATTTAGGTAAGATGAAGTTTTGAACATCATTCTAAGTTACACCAAAATCATATTCAATGTTTTAAGAAGTATGTAGAACTATAAGAAATGTTCAAATCAAAATTTCTAAACAGTTTGAACTAAAATACATTATAATATGACCTTGAATTATTTTATTTGTTATTGTCTCTTTTGTCAAAACATTTCCCCCTATATATGTATGTATGAAATATATTTTTCATTATTTATTAACACTGCCATAAAAAAGTTAAACCAAAAACATTTAATATTTTTGGAGAAATACATTCATTTTTTTCCTGCATATATATATATATAGACAGACAGATATAGAAATTATTTATTAACTCTGCCATAATATATAATGATAGATGAAATAAAAGTTAAACCAAAAACATTCAATATTTTTGGAGAAATACATTACATGCATACATTTTTTCCCTATATATATATATATATATAGAGAGAGAGAGAGAGTATATTTATTTTATATTTTATTCATATTTATTGACACTCCCATAATATATAATGATAGATGAAATAAAAGTTAAACCAAAAACATTCAATATTTTTGGAGAAATACATTACATGCATACATTTTTTCCCTATATATATATATAGAGAGAGAGAGAGTATATTTATTTTATATTTTATTCATATTTATTGACACTCCCATAATATATAATGATAGATGAAATAAAAGTTAAACCAAAAGCATTCAATATTTTTGGAGAAATACATTACATACATTTTTTCCCTATATATATATATAGAGAGAGAGAGAGTATATTTATTTTATATTTTATTCATATTTATTGACACTCCCATAATATATAATGATAGATGAAATAAAAGTTAAACCAAAAGCATTCAATATTTTTGGAGAAATACATTACATACATTTTTTCCCTATATATATATATAGAGAGAGAGAGAGTATATTTATTTTATATTTTATTCATATTTATTGACACTCCCATAATATATAATGATAGATGAAATAAAAGTTAAACCAAAAGCATTCAATATTTTTGGAGAAATACATTACATACATTTTTTCCCTATATATATATATAGAGAGAGAGAGTATATTTATTATATATTTTATTCATATTTATTAACACTCCCATAATATATAATGATAGATGAAACAAAAGTTAAACCAGAAACATCCAATATTTTTGGAGAATATGTTTTGCGATCCCTCATAGTGTAGCTGAGTATGATTCACCTTCGGAGGACTGTCCGTGTTTGTTGGGCTGCTGTTTCTTGGTGTCCAGCGGTGGCTGGTGTTTGGCTCTCTTGAGCAGCAGCAGGAACGCAGCGGTCAGCGAGAACAGCAGCACGATGATGCAGAGGCCTAGCAGCGAGTAGAGCAGCGCCTCCGAGTACAGCGCTGATCCGGACACCGAGCGCCCTCTGCCGGGGACCAGCTGCACTGCAGAGCCGCCGACATCAGGCCTCTGCGTCACGAACACCGCTCCTGTGCCTGGATCACAGTCACAGCCAACATACAGCTATAGAATATACATGCAAGTCTTTTTTATTTGGAGAACACACTTTTTTTATTTATTTTTTTATTAAAGGGGGTAAATACACATTTATCCTGCTACGTTTATTTTTTGTAGGTCATTTCCCAAACCATAGTAACCACAAAATAACAGTTTTTGCTGCACTAACCATAGTTTAACCATAGTATTTGTAGTAGTAAAACAAAAATAGCAAAATAGCCTACGCCAAAAACCATGGGTACTGCTCTATTACTATAATAAAACCATGGTTCATTTCTAACTATTAGACAGCTGGTCGTATTTTATTGAAGCTTGTTACCACCATGGACTGCTTTAAAAAAAAAAAACAGTATTTGTGACTTTTTATCTCACCGTTATGACTTTGTCACAATTCTAAGTAGGCCTGTATATCTCACAATTAAGCCTTTCTTCTTGTAATTATGACTTTCCCCCTTAGACTGCCAGGGAAAATGGTCAAAATTGTAAAATGTAAATGCAGAATAAAAAAAAAAAAGTCTTAATTGCAAGATGTAAACTCAGAATTCTGGAAAAAGTCAAAATTGAGATGTAAACTGAATTCTGGAAAAAAAAAGTCAGAATTGCTCAGAATTCTGGAAAAAAAGTCACAAGTGTGAGACGTAACCTCAGAATTTTGAAGACAAAGAAACGTCAGAAGAATTACGACCACTTTAACCCTACAGCGTGCAATTAAGAGATATTATAAACTCACAATTCTTCGAAAGAAAACTTCAGCTTCAGTAGCACTTGGAAGCACAGCACTTCTAATGTAATTCTGTGTATTGAAAAGCTCAAATGTGAAGTGTGTTTGTTCTGAGCTGTGCCTCATCGACTCACTCCTGCATGCGTCTGCGCAGGCCTCTGGATGACTGCCGCACAGCTCGGAGCACTTCAGACACTTCTTCAGCAGCGTGTCGTAGAACTGACCGGACACGGCTTTACATCTCCAGGCCACTGCCACACAACATCACAGTCATCATCAGACCCTGCTCTGGACACGCGTGAGCTGAAGACGACGGGGTAACTTACCGCAGTATTGAGAGCAGCGTGTGGGAATCACAGAGTCGTGGCAGATCATACTGCAGGACACACACTCTCGCAGCAGCCTGTCCATGTACTGACCCTCCGGACAGCTCTGTGCCATCGCTCAAGCCCCGACAAACACCTGCACACAGCATGCACACACTGAGCATCACCATATAAACACCTTCTTGATTTGAAATGAGACTCCCAGATTAAACGAGAACACTTCTGCTTTTAATGCAACAGATCGTGAAAACCATGTATAAAATGAAGAAAAGGAGAACATTTGGTCCGTTCTAAAGGCTAGTTCAATCGTCCTGATTATTGTGTTAACTGTTCATTGAACCGACACACACAGAGGAAACCAAACTTTGTGAGATCCTCATCAAAAGGACTTGTTTTAGTTTCTCGTGCTCGTGGCTGATCATCCATCACACAAAGAAGGTGATCATTATATGAATCATTCACAGAAGTGAGATATAGATTGGCATTTACAGCTAAAGCTAAAGTTGATATACTTTACACAGCATGGGTTATAACTTGATTTATTTGATTTACATTATATACACACACACACACACACACACACATAGCATAATAATACAACATCGTACTGCAATCAATGAACTGAACACAACTGGCACAAAGATATTTGTAATATATTCAGAAGGGTTGTAAAAAAGCACTGAACCTAAAGGTAATTATAAAAGCAAATGCTATGAGTTATGTTATTGTTTATAAACAATATTCAATATTCACTTTTTTTTAAAAAGGAAAATGCCATGTAAAACTTTTGGATTGTAATTGATGGTCAGCTGATCTTATTATTACATTAATGAAGTTTTGCATGAAATGTACTTGTAGATTTCAGGATTATTGTTTAAACTCATAAGTTCATAAGTGTTGTGAATCTGTAGATAGGCTGTAAATCTGACGCACATGCATGTGCTGCACTTACCTCGAGTGAGAACGGAGACCTGAGGGGTCTGGAGTTTAGCTTTCTGTGAGTGTGGGACTATTTGTACCAGCAGATGATTTGAATAAAACCACACTGAGCCTCAGGAGACCACACTGCTGCAACTGCTTGTGTTATACACAGATCACATTTCTGAACATCTTTAATTATTTAATATCCCAGTTTATTATACAAATAAACCTGAGAACATGGAAACCCAAAATGCTTTGGAACTGAAAAATAAATGTTTTATATATATATATATATATATATATATATATACCTATATATGCTACCGTTCAAAATTTTTGGATCAGTAATTAAAAAAGGATAATCATTTTTTATTCATCAAGGGTGCACGAAATTGATCAAAGGTGACAGCAAAGACATGCATAATGCAACAAATGACTTCTATTTTAAGTAAATGCGGTTCTTTTGAACTTTCTATTGATCTGTGATTCCTGAAAAATACATTTGGTCACGGTTTCCACAAACATATAGCTGTTTTCAGCATTGATAATAATCAGAAATGTTTGTTGAGCAGCAGATCAGCATATTATACTGATTTCTGAAGATCATGTGACACTGAAGACTGGAGGAATGATGCTGAAAATACAGCTGCGCATCACAGAAACACATTATATTTTTCACATAGAAAACAGCGATTAGAATTTATACTAATATTTCACAATTTGATCAAATATATTAATATTAGCGTAAACTGAACACAATTTGCATTACATTCATAGGTTGTAAGTGTACTGAGCTTCATTTCATCATTACTGCACACACACAAATCAAACTGAGAATTGTTCACACATTAGCCTTTATTTGTTTGGTAAATGAATGTAATGCCTTTTATTTATTTTGGTCAATAACAACACTGGAAAAAGGTTGGCGGACACTTGATCACGTTTCTCAATAATTGTCAATATTTACAGGTCATGAACATGATGCATAATCCATATACAAGCCAAAGCCTGAACACAAGTCCACAGTCCTTCACTTTTTAGATAGAAAACAAAACCCAAACTGGACAACAGAGGGAGACATTTTGCAACAATTTGATTGCCAAAAAAAAGTGGAGGGGAGCTTGCTTTGTCATGCATCTTAATATGTCCAGATTTTCTTATGTGTCATTAGAGTTAGTCAGTTGTGCTGAAGGGTTTCTTTTAAATGATCATTTCCCACTGAAAGTCATTACCAGACACTTTTAATCACAAATGCATACATATATTAACTTCATTATATTAATTATCACTTAGTTGCACCTCACAAATGAAATAATATTACAGTTTGGTCATTTGTAATATTTAGTATGTTGGTTGAAGTTTGTTAAATGCGTACCACTTAATGTTCAACTTACTAAAATGTTTTTAAATTAAAAGTCGTGTTAGCATTAGTTACTGCACTGTGAACTAACACAAACACAAATAACTCGTTCTATTAATGCATTAACCCATATTAATACATAAATCACTGGGCTATGTTAGATAATGCATTAACTCATGTTAACAATGAGACCTTAAAGAAAGAAGCAGTAAAAGTGGGTTTGCACCTTTGTACAATTTAATTAAATCGCAATCACGCTTTCTCCACAAATGGCCTGACAATAAGAGTGTTTGAGGAATTATTTAATTAGACCTGAGGATTATTCTGCTTGGGTGGGTTGTAATAAATTGGACCTTTACAATAAATAACTGGGCAAAAATTGAGCTGTGGCAGCTTAGCAACAAGAGGAATGACAGGCACATCTCAGCACAGCCTGACATTGAGCTATGCTACATCCTTATGATGACGCTCAGCACAGCACACAATACACAGCCTTCATTCAAGCAGCTATTGGAGAAGGTGAAGAATGAGTCATTCTTCAAGACTTAACAGAATGCTTCATCCACACAAAATGAAAATGTGCTCACCCTCAAGTCATCCGAGATTAGGATGAGTTTGTTTCTTCATCAGATTTGGAGAAATGAAGCATTGCATCAGTGTCTCAGCAATGGATGCTCTGCAGTGAATGGGTGCCGTCAGAATGAGAGACTAAACAGCTGATAAAAACATCACAATAATCCACAGCACTCCAGTCCATCAGTTAACATCTGGAGAAGACAGATGTTAGGCACTTTTAACTAAAATACGAGTCCATAATCCACAACGCTTTCTCCAGTGAAAAAGTGTCTGAATCAGGAGAGAAATCTGCACAGATCAAGCACCGTTTAAAGCATTAAGGCACTTTTAACTAAAATACGAGTCCATAATCCACAACGCTTCCTCCAGTGAGTCAGTGTTCTGGTGTGAATCAGGAGAGAAATCTGCACAGATCAAGCACCGTTTAAACAGCTCTAAACACATATGTGGCTGGATTGTGATGTGAGAGACAACAGCAGATGCACTTTTTCACTGAAGGAAGCGTTATTATAGATTATGGACTCGTATTTTAGTTAAAAATGTCTTAATGCTGGATTTGTTTCAGCTTTTGTCTTCTCCAGATGTTAACTGATGGACTGGAGTGCTGTGGATTACTTGTGGATTATTGTGATGTTTTTATCAGCTGTTTGGACTCTCGTTCTGACGGCACCCATTCACTGCAGAGCATCCATTGCTGAGACACTGATGCAATTTCTACAAATCTGATGAAGAAACAAACTCATCTACATCTTGGAAATATTTATTTTTGGGTCAACTATTCTTTTAATAAAACAGACATTTGGTATGATGAATGATGGACATCTTTGAAATGTGTTATTAATATAAAGGAAATGCTATATTGTGCCCACACCATCAGACAAGGGACTCTATATAAACCTGACATAAGATACAACACTAGAGCATGACACACTAACACACAACCTATTCTGCCTGACGGTCAAAGGCACATTGAACTGAACTCAAAGTACTCGACGAATACTGCGATAACCACTTTGCTGTCATCAATACTTCCCCAGGTTTCAAAATATGTGTTTCCAAAACTGTTTACACTTCTAAACGTGAGCTCGTTCACTTTTCAACACCTGCAGCATAACAGATCTGATTCTGGCCCTTAGAAATCAGACAGACTGAAGTAAACAAGTTCGGTTTTAGCCCTTCGCAAATGTTACAATGATCTAAACCCCTCAAACGGGCAAGAGCTGAATACGTTCTGTTAATGCCAGCTCAATATATACACATTATACAGCTCTGTGAGCGACAGCGGCTTTCAATGAGCGTTTTATTTACAAGCATATAATAGTAAATCAATTGATTGTACATTCAGGTGGAGGGTTTATTGTTAAAGCTCTGTGAATGAATGCACACGGTTTCTGCGTCTCTCATTCTGTGATTCTTTAAGGCACTTGCAGCGTCCTTTTATCAGCCTTGCTAGAATAAATAATTGTTTTAAAAGTGCAATGCAAATGTAAAGCGCGGCTGCTGATGCTATTCGTCGTCACTACAGAACAGTCCATGTGTGACGGGATGCATTCATCACAATGATGGATCTTATGTTTTATAATGAGGTATATTTTTGACCAGAACGACTGCACAATTATGCACTTGTTTGAATACTTTTCTGAGTGAACTGCATGCCCTCTGTCATCCTCGTCCGTCTCACTGCCCCTTGACCCTCATTGCTATGACTGAGGTGAGTGAGCAAGGTTGTTTGCATTAAAGCAGGAACGAGGATTTCTTTGCATCTCATTTGCCAGCTGATGAATGTTAATTTAGTATAGCCAATGGCCATATGGTTACTTCATACTTCCATTTGCACAATTACAACACAATACAATGAAACTTTCTCCAGGTCAGATAACGATTAAGCTCTAAACTAAAGATTCGACTACAGCTCTGATTCAAAACCTAGTGTGCATTTAACTCCTGATTCCTATAGAATTCCAATCTGATCTCAAGATAATTCGTACATATTTTATGAGTTCCCCAATTCTTATGAATTCGTACGAATGACCTAGCCCTAACCCCGCTCCTAAACCTAGGGTCTAGACAAATCGTACGAGTGAGGTCGTATGAATTTGTGCGAATTAGCCATTCGTTCGAATTGGTTGTGAGATAGCATTACATACTGTATATACACTGGTAACAACAATCCTCTAATAAGCATAAAAACACATTACACACAAAATATGGATAAAGTAGTCTGTTTTCATTAGAATTTTTTTCACCGTGCATTTTAGGATTGCCTTTTTCGTGAAGGATACTGTATAAATAACGCCTTAAAAATTTGGCTAAGAAGGAGGTAGCTTAAATGCTGCTGCCTACACTTTTTGGAGCTGCCTGAAAATGTTGTTTAGATAGGAAGCATACTAGGTTTTGTAACAGAGCCCATCTCCCCCTCCTCTCCACTGAACGTTATGTACATTTCCTCTACCAAAATAATACCAAACAGGCGAAATATTACGAGGGAAGATTTTTAAATGTAAACAAGATATTCTAAGTATAACAACAAATAAATATGCCACGGAAATGTACATCTTTGTTTAGATTTCGGAGACCTTTTCTATTCAGCGATGTGGCCTTGTCGAGCACTCGTCTTGTATTCATCGTCACAAAAAGCCTTGAATAATAAGAAGCCTCTAACAAGCTGTTTCCACAAACAGAATGAAATCATGTTTATCCAATGAAGGCCATGACTTGTCTTTGAACCCTAAAGACAATTTTGGCACTGAACATACACTCATAATTACACAACAGCCTTAGAATTTCTTCAGACAGTAACACCGAACAAAGCAACGAGAGTTATTTACAGTAAATGACATTCGTTTGCTCATCGCTTAAATACATCAGATCAGTCAGCTCGAGCTCACCCCAAAAAATGTGGTTTGGGTTGCGTTTAGGTATTTATTGTTGTTCTAAAATACTGAATCTCTCCCAGCGCATGTAATCTGAGACTTTCAGTGGACCACTTTCATGTAACATCTAATCTCAGCAGACTTTTATCTCCTCAGATGCTGGTTTGAAGGTCTCCGTTGAGCAGCGCGGCGTTGTGCGTTTCCGTCATGACGTCGTTGACCATTCGAGTCCTGTCCTGTCGACTGTCGCTGCGCTCGATCTCATCCAAGCCGCCGACTCTTTTAAGACACAGGACGTTTTGGAAGCTCTTCTTGAAGTTG